ACCTGGCACAAGGAGGATTCCAAGGCGTGCAGGAAGCTCTTGGCGGCAGCAAAGTCTGCTTGCTCGGGGGTAGGAAGTAGGAACAGGTTTCTTTAAAGCGGTACACCGCATACCGGAGCGTGAGTCAGAATCCCCAGGGGGGCTTCTTCAAACTCAGAGTGCTGGACAAATCCCCGGAGCTTCTGAGATGGTAGAGGAGGTAAGGGGGGAATTTGCATTTCCAACAAGTTCCCATGATGAGAAGCACAGATTTCAATAACCTTGGAGTTCTAGAAAATTATTTGGGGAGTGGGGATGGGGTCTGGGGGACTTCTGTAAGGAACTGCAAGCTCTGTATAGAAATTTTGTGAGTTGCTAATATTCATGGAATGAGTGTTTTGCAAGGAAAAAGAAAAAGCATGTGTTTCTTTGAGGGGGGTTGGGAAAAAGGACAAGAGTGAAAGAGAAAGAAGAAAGAACTGGTGTGGAATTTAGGGTGTATATGGAAGAGAGGTGTGTGTGTCTGTGGATGCATGCGTGTGGGTGTGTCCTGGCCCCACAGGAATTAACTGGGTTTTGCAGAAGCACACAAACACCAGAAAACCAAAGCTACAAAAACAGAACTCGTTCTAATAAGCCAGTGGTTCTTAAACTGCGGTGTGCACAAAATCCTACGGAACTTAATTAAAAAATACAGAAGTCCAGGTTCATTGAAATAAGACAGGGTCTCAGCCCTGCAGTGTTAGCCAATTCTCTAGGGTATTCTGATACGACCAAAGATGGAGACCCGCTGTGACATGGGACTTCTCACAGGTGACGCCCATTCCCCTGATCTGGCGGCTATGGCAGCCCTGGCAAAGAGGGAACAAGCTAGACTGGTATTCAGATCCACATTTGCTCAATTCCAGGTTGCTTGTTCTGTGAGTTGGGCAAGGGCTCCCTTTGCCTGACCTCAGCTTTCTCATCTGTAAAATGGGCGCAGGGCTAAGCAGGAGAACATCGCCATGCCTGGCTTGAGGGAAAGCACTTGCTGAAGGCTGTGGAGTGTGGTGTTTGGTTTTTTTGTTTGTTTGTTTTATTTTAAAGGCTCTCCGTTCATCCTACCTCTCGGTCAGGCAAATGACTGAGGCTCTAAGGAAAGAAGCCACATGATGGAATCACAGTCTTGCTCAGACCCCAAACTGTGACACCTGTGATAAATCCTTCTGAGAAGAATGGGGCAGCTTCTCACTCCCTAGACCCACCCTTGGTGGCCGCAGGATCAACCCGTGGCTTCCCTTCCACTGGTTCAGAGCCTCACCCGCTGTCAAGAAAGCAACCATGCTACGGGCCTTCATAACTCTGTTGGTCCAGCCCAGGACAGCAGGATGGGGTGGGGGACAGATAGGAGAAAGGACACAGGTGCCCACCAAGGTCATCGGCTCTTTCATTATGACAGTTACTTCCTTGATCATTTCCTGGAACTGAGGCTGCCTCTGCCCTGGGCAAGACGTTCCCCTCTGAGCACCCACCTTTTAGTTTAGAAGTTTCCTACTTCTTGCCCTCAACAAGCCAGGCCACATCGCTGCCTGCGACCCTCACCACCCTTGACGTAAGACAGGGCCCCCTCCCCGGGGCTCCACACCCGAGGACCTCAAACCTGGCTGAGTGATGGAGTCCCTGCACCTGGGCAAGGTGTGGAGACACTCTTGGTTGTCACGACGGGGGAGGGGGAGGGCTGCCGCTGGCATCCAGGGGGTGGAGGTCAGCGATGCTGCTAAACATCCTGCAGGGACAGGACAGCCTCCCCCGCAAAGATTTTTCTGACCCCAAATGTCAACAGTGCTGAGGACGAGAGACCCTGCTTGGGGGCAGGGCATGCTCTGGCATAGTTTGCAAGCTCTCCTGCCCCCGCCAGGCGAGAGAACCTCTGGCCTCTGCCCTCTGGCTCCTGCCAGCTCCTCCACCCTCGCCTGCTGCCCATGTGCCCTCACCTGCCCCCGTCCCAGTTTTCCTGGAATCTGCATTTTAACAACCTCCCTCCCTGGTGCAGGAGGCCCAGGGACACACCCTTTGGGAAGCACCATGCCAGAGCTGTCCCCGCTGCTTCTGCAACACAGCCCATTCTCAGAAAACCAAGGGATTCGTCACAGCTGTGACAAACATCTGCTTCCACCTACTCATTGTACAGAAGGGGAAACTGAGGCCTTGGAAACCCTACAGGAAGGTAGAAGGATGAGAGATGCTTCCATTCAACTCTATCGGCTTTCCAATTCCACTTGGAGTTTTTAACATGAACGATTGCAGACCGTCAATAGCTTGCAATAATCCCATAATAACCCCATCGTGAAGCAATTTAGCAATCCTGCTGCTAATAGCATTTGTGGATACAGCAACTGGGTAACTAGTTGGTTGTTACTCATTCCCTGAGAGCCATACATACTGCATTGCAAGGAAGCTAATCTTAGAAATACTTGTTAACTTCAACAATAATTACCAAGTAATTGGCTAGAACGCGCCATTGTGAATTTATCCAGAAGATGCCAGGTAATTATCTGGTCTTATGTTCCCTTGTAAAATAAATCTAGGGTCCCAAAATTGTTCCAGTTGGTTGGCCATCGTCCAACCGTCAACCTCTGCCAGCCAATCGTGCGGACGCAAGTGATTAATCAAATTACTCAAATATTTGGTTTCAAACTGAACGTTCAGCTAAGAAACCCGGACGACCAACAAGTGGACAGTCCTGGGCGGGAGAGAGAGGGATGCACAGAGCCCCTCCCTAAGATAAATGTATAACAGCAAGAACATGGCATCAATGCCACTTCTTTGGGTCTCATCTGGCATTCTCACGCAAAATACCAAAACACTTGAGAGACCAATTACATGTCCCAGAGCTGCACGGTCTTTATCATGGTGCCAGGAAAAGGCTGGGCTATTTGTGAAATCTGTAGGCAGTTATGGTGCTCGGAGGGGGGGGGGGCTCGGGATTTTGTGCGGAATAGGAGAAGGCCGAGCATGCAGCTGGCTCGCAGAATGAGCAACGCGCATTTCCATAATGACCACTCGGTTTCCAGGGGCGGCTGCTAGTTCCGATTCGCCAGCCTTCGGGCGGGTGGCGAGGGGGGCGTGGGTACAGGGCCCCACGGCTACCGCTGAAAATGAGGGAGGACAGGGCGGCAGGAGGTCTTTGGAAGGGGCAGGCAAAGGGGAGGAGAGGATGGATCTCCAATGGCTAATGTGGGGATATAAAAGGGAGTTAACCGGCCAGAAGGCGAGGAGCTGGCAGGAGAGAAATTAGGGGTGACAGCTTAAGGCAGGAGCCATGGGGGACAGACGGGGGTGGGGGTGGGGGAGAAGACCACTCTGCAACCGGACTTGTGCCTCCCAAGTTAAGGGCTACTGACTGCCCACTAAGAGAGATGAGGCGTAGTGGATAAGACACAGAGGAGGAATGGGGGGGTTGAGGGTCTCCATGGCAGATGGTAAAAATGGCCACGGAGTGTCCTCTCCCTGCATCCACGGCCTTGAAACAGGACACTGAGAGCCTCCCATTCAGAGGCAGAGTCTGCTTCTCGTTGACCGTGGGGGTTGCTTAGGCCAATGGACGTTAGCCAATGTGTCGCAGCAGAAGCATGAAAAAGTCTTGTGCATTAGGTCTCGAGCTCATGCGCTTGGAAACCTGAGACCGCCATGGGAACGAGCCCTGTTGGGGATCAGGGTCCACGTGGAGGAGGACGGGGGCGCCCTGGCTGACAGTCAGCCAAGCGGCAGACACGTGAGTGAGGGCGTCCAAGACTCAGCAACCCACCCTCCTCTGCTGCCCCGGAGCTGAACTGACCACAGCCACCAGCCACTGAGCCTGGCTCAGTCCAGAACTGTCCACAGGACAGAGAGAAACAACTTAGTTTTGGGGTACTTTGTTACTCAGCAAAAGCTTATACTTGCCCAATCCGAACAGCTCAGCCCACGAACATTACCTGGGCTGATTCTTTGAGAGTCACTTCTGTCCTGCGCAGAGCTGAGAGCCGGCATTTTTATCCCTGTTTAAGGGGGGGCTGGAGACCCATCCCTGGCTCTCCCGTCCCTCGCAAGCCCTGTCATTCGACACACGAGTCACGCCAGTCAACCCACCGTCTGCATAATCAATGGGGACAGACGATAACGCACTTTCTACCTAATCACCAAGCTCTTCTAAGCGGATTCACGGAGGTTTTGTCTCATAAGGGAACAGATCAAAGACACGCCAGCTCTTCTCTGAGCCCACAGCACCTGCGATGGCACCTGCCAAGACGCGAGGCTTGTGCGTTTGGGGTCTTACTGCTTGAGCCGGATATAGGAAGGAGAGAGCTCCTGACCGACCCTTGGCACCCCAGGCCAGAACAAGAACGAATGCCCCTACTGAGGCCAGTCCGAATGTGAACAGGGGCACAGATAGCAGAGTTTAAAAAAAAAAAACACCAAAGGATTGTTTCACAGCTATTCAAATGGAACCAAAGCTATTTTTTATCAATGCCTCGGGTCACCGGGTGAGGTTAGAGAGATTGAGTCCAGGAAAGTCCAAGGAACATTTCCTTAATGTCAGTTCTCTGTTAACTACCCCTTCTGTGCACACACAGACCCTCGATATTCAAAGCAACGATGGTAAAGACTGCAAATGTGCTCTGCCTCTTTAACCAAAGCCAGAATAACCACCATCAGAATCTTAACCCAGGGGTCAGCAAACGATGGTTCACAGGCCAAATCCGGCCCACCGCCTGGGTTTGTAAATAAAGTTTTATTGGGACACAGCCACGCACATTCATTCATATACTCCCCGCCCCCCATGGCTGCTTTCGCGCTACTGTGGTTGGGTTGAGCAGCTGCTGTAGAAACTGTGCTCTCTGCGACTCTACTCTGCTAAAGAGTTTTAGCACTCAAAGTGTTTTCGGGACTCTTACATCTTAAAGTCACGTAGGTAAACGCTGAAGGGCAGAGCGGGAGACGCTCTACTGAGCAGAGCTGGCTTCTCAGCCGCCAGTGCGTGGGGGCCGGGCGGGACTGACCTGGTGATGATGGCCAGGTGGGGCGGGCTCATGCAGGCGCCCATGAACAGCACCACGTTCTCGTGCCGCGTCTGCCTGTAGGCCATCACCTCCCGCTTGAAGGCCTTGAGCTGGTCCTCGTTGTCCCTCTCGATGTCGATGAGCCGGATGGCCACCTCGCCGTGCCAGCGGCCGTGGTACACCTGCCCGAAGCGGCCCTTCCCGATGAGCTCGCCGATCTCCAGCTGCTCGAAGGGGATGTCCCACTCCTGAAGGAAGATGCTGGTCTGGCTGGCCTTGCGCGGGAAGCTCCGGGCCGAGAGGAGGGACAGGTTCATCTCCTCGAAGTCATCCTCAGACTCCTCCGCCTCGTCCTGGGCCTCTTCGTTCTGCGGCCAGAGCGGGAGAGAGGTCAGAGTCGCGCCCGCGCCCGCCTCCCCTGTGGTCCTACTGTGTCCCGTGTGTGTGTGTGTGTGTGTGTGGGGGGGTCTGGACGCATCTCCATGTGCAGTGGTGGCCGGTGCGGACACACATCTGCTTCCCCAGGTGGCTCCGATGACAGAGCTGAAAGGGAGATCGTGACAGTCCAACTCTCTTGCGCTGAGAGGGGAAACTGAGGCTCAGAGAGGAGAAATGCTAGTGGGAGCAGTTATCCCAGTTTGCTAGGATTACTCTGGTTTTACTACCCAAAGTCCCGCATCTCAGGACACCTCTCAGTCCCTGGCAAACTGGGATGGGTGGTCACCCTGGGAAGTGACTTGCTGTAGGTCACACAGCCGGGCAGAGGAAGGACTAAGGATCAGGGTCTGGACTCGAATAGCCCTTCCACTCCACCGTGCCGTCTGGACCCATCTGACCTTTCATGTGCGTGCAATAAAGACGACAGGCTAAGCTACGGGTACCTTGTGTGTCTGCACAGACATGTGACAACCGTCAATATGGAATATCTTTTGCTTCCCCCAGGGAATTTAGAACTGATGATTCAGGAATTGGGAGGTTCCGACGGCAGCCAGGAGGGTAGAAGACGGCAGCGTGAGAGGTTAATAGAGCGGACTTAACCGCCGGACCAAGCCAGCTGGAATCCGGCCTCTGTGTTACCGTGGCCAAGTCACTTCACTTCTCTGAGTCTTCGTTCACTCAACGAAAAGTGCGGGTCACACAATCTGCCCCAGGGGGTGGTGTGAGGTCTTAAAAGAGATGAAGACCAGTTCTTTGCACAGATCTGACCACCTGTATCCAACACCCACTGGGATGCCTCAGAAATGCAGATTCCTGGGCTCCACCAAGATCTACCGAATCGAAATACCAGCAGACCAGCACCAGAATCTGCCTTTCTATCCTGCACACCTGCATGACTCAGGTATCCGTAGGCGTGGCCACTATGAAAGTCAGACACTCAAAGTCTTGGGCCCCGCCTTCCCAGCCTGGTATGTGGGGGTGCCCGGGGCTTGGGGGCGCCCCGCCTCTTGGATTCGTTGGCTGGAGTGTGGGCGTGGCAGGTGCCCAAGCCAGCGGGGACTCCCAGAGGCCCCGGGAAAGGAGGAGACAGGCTGAGAAGGTGGTGTCTTGACCCAAAATACCTGAGCCAGCTTCCCCCAGTGACACACTCAGGAGAAATGATGACACAGGAAACACTGGCTTATCCTAGGACCATTTTCCAGCTACCACAATAGTCCCAGAAAAGAACGCGATTTTCCCTGGAAACGTTGACTCTCTTCCTTTACTGGTAGAGGTGGGGGGTCAGAACTCCATGACTTTCACCCAGGACATCTCATTGATTCCACCAGAACATTCTCAGCACCGCAAGCCCAGCATCCCTGAGGCCCCACCTCCTCCCTCCAAATCTTTCTGAAGGCAGCGGGGCACGTCCACCTGGGTATTCACCCGGCCCTGAGCTGAGTTTTCAACTAAGAATGCAAATCTCTTGCCAACTTCCGCAAAACTGGCTCTTCCACGATGCACACCATATAATGGCCCGTTAGGCTCAGAGGCGGGAGGGGCCGCCCTTGTTCACTGTGCTGGAGTTAGAACATCCATCAGACAGGGCCACTGCGGCCCCCACCTGTCCCCAAGGCCTCTGTGTCATCAAAACCATCAATCCTCTTGCCAGGTTCTGGGCAGCCCCTGGAAAAAGTGGCAAAGCAACCCTGATGCTCACCTCCGAGGTTGGCTCCACTTCAATTTGAAGTAATGGGTTTCCTTCCAAGCTTTAAAGAAAGAAAAATAAGCGTGACCCTTAGGTGAAAAGGTAGGTCCCTGCATTGAGTTTAGCTGTGTGTGAAGAATCCCCAGATGGGAAGTCCTCCCCACCAAGCCTTTATCTCACATTCTAATACCGGTGTCAGAAATCATCTATAACCTTACTATAAAAAAAAAAAAAAGCAGTATATAAGGATATTGTTTTAAGTAGATTTTTTTTCTGGGCTTCTCAGGGCTCATTTTTCTTTATTGCTTTGGTTTCAACTAATCTAGCAGCTTTCTTAGAAATTGGCCTGAATGCCACAGGTAGACAAATTATCTGTGCTCCAAGGTGTTTTGCAGGAAAGAATTAACCAGCTCTCTGAAGTTCACTCAAATTCGAAATCTCTTGGAAGGAAGGTGGTGTTCATCTGTTTGCCTGCTCATTCATTCATTCATTTGACTAGAAGTGAGTGCCAGGAACAACACTAGGCCCTTAGAGGGACATAGAAGTGAAACTGGCATGCCTCCTGACCTTGAGGAATGTTCTATTACTGCTAAAGGAACTAAAACAAGTTCACAGATGTTGTACAGAAAGGCTAAAAGTAACAAGAGCCCAAAAGTGAGGTATGAATTGGACAGATGGATTATGGTGAAAAGTCCAAGGAGAGAGAATTAACTGGATGGATTTGAAAGTTCACAGTGTTTGAGTTGGACCTTGTCAATCACATGGGATCAGGGCGTATGGAATGAAAATAAAAAGACTGTATTGGACTGGAAGACACAGGCATGCAAATGTGTGTGTGTGTGTGTGATGCATTTGCAACTTCATGAGCTGCTGTTGTGTTCTAAGTATGTGAACATGCTGGGTATGGGTGCTCGGGGGCATGTGTGTGTGTGAGTACTGCATGGGTATTATGGGATGTGCCCTGTTTAGAGCTGTCTAGTGTGCACATGAGTTGGGGGTGCACACGGGAGAGGTCGAGGCCACGCTGTATGCTGATGGTATACCTGAGTATGCATTAGGGGTGCAAAGGACTGGCACGTGTCTGGTATGGGATGGTGCATTAGAGTTGTGTTTTGGGGGTGCGTCCTGAGACTTGAGGACGTGTCTGTGTTCATGGACTGCAGCGGGGGACAGTGGCTGGGATGCTGAGAGTGCAGAAGAGCTAGGACAGGTGGGAAAAGAACTCACAACGATATCATGCCCCCTTCCCATTTCCCGGTGGGAGCTTAGCAGATTCGCCCTCCCCCTCCCCGCCTCCTCCCCTGGGGGGCCTCCCTATCCTGATCCTCAGACCCAAGGAAGCTGCTGACTTCCTGGAGGGGGCCCTGGTGAGATGGAGTCTGAAAGCCCACAAGAACTAAAAGAAGGGAAGAGAAGGGTCAGTTCTCCAAAGTGGCATTTGCTGTCATATTAACCAATTATTTATAGCACAGCCTGGGAAGGCAGAATGAAAGTGCACAATGACAGCTGATATGCTAGGAACTTCATGCCCTGAGTAGGACAACGCAGCTAGAGTCCCTTCTCGACAAAATGGGCTGCCCCCTCCTCTCTTTGCATCAAGGCTGCGTGATTCCAGCAGCCAGGGCTATTCAATTATTTCCCTCTGTAAAGAGTGAGTTTCCACCACTCCACGCACATTTAAGCAGATCGCAGGCAGCTACTGACTGTGTTTTTTACTGGTACTCCCTGACTGTCAGTTAATAAGCTGGAGTTCGTCTTGCACAAATTGTGGAATTGGTTTACCTGCGGCAGACAACTGGTGCGGAGAGCTAGATGTCAGTACGATACCGCCCCCCAGCCAGTTGCTGTTCATTTGATTTCAGACATGCTGCATTTGGGTCTTTAACAAAGTCCATAATGTGGGTCAGAAAGGACGAAGCAGTTAGGGGAGCCAGCAGAGAAACCAAGGAGGCAAAAATGTGGGTTGGGAAACTGATCAAATCCTAGCATGTCCAAGACTTCCAACCAAGGAAGTGAAGGAAGGTGATTTCACTTTGGCTGCACCAGCAATGGACCACCTGGAAGGAGGGTCTGTATCTTAGGATGCTATACACAAAGATGTTCATTGCAGTGTTGTTTATAACAGTGCAGTATGGGAAGCAAGTAAAATTCAGCAATAGGGATTATTTAAAGAAATTATTCTCCATTAATATGACATCTTACAGGCATTAAAAACAATGTCCCTGAAGAGTCTGGAATAATATGAAAAATGTCATGTTATAGCATGAAAGATACCCACAGCAGGATGGTAACTGCATATACTGAGTCACTATGTAAAATATGAATAAAAGCAGCACACATAAAGGTTTGAACAGTGGGGGAATTATGAGTGCTTCTTCCTTTCTGTTTTTTACAGAATAGTCCAAATTTTCTGAAATTAGCTCTTACTATTTTTATAATAGTATAAACCAGAGGTTAGCAAAAAAAAATTTTTCCGTGAAGAGCCAGAGAGTAAATATGTTTGGCTTTGCAGACCACAGTTTCTATGAAAACTACTCAACCCTGCTGCTGTACAGAGAAAGCAACCACGGACCCAATATGTTGTAAACAAATGGGCATGGCTGTGTTCCAATAAAACTTTATTTAAAAACAAACAGCAGGTTGCATTTGTCCTATGGGCTGTATAATTTTATGAGCCTGGTATAAACCTAAATTAGACTTTTTTAAAGGGTGACAGTGACATGGAATAACTTCCTTTTTATTAAGCTCTAGCTAGTGCCTGGGAAAATTTGTCTTTCTAATGGGGGGTGGGAGAGGTCCTCAGGAAATTGTCCAGCCCCTGGAAATCACACCTGATAGGCAAGACCAGAGGCACAAGGCAGAGCTGGCTCATGGGGACCGGTGTTGCTTCTCTCTTTGTCTCTCGGCCTGGGCTCTCTCCTCTTTGCCTGAGTCATTCCCTACATCTTTCTGGCCCCCTTGTCCTTCTCCCTCTGCAGCCCCACCCCCTACATTCCAGGAAGAGGAAGAAAGAAGACACAGAACTGGAGCAGACCGCAGGGCCGGGGCTCGGAAGCTCAGGGCAGGGGAGAGGGTCTCGCGCCACTTACATTGTATTCGAGGTCACCGGATGCAGGATGACCTGGGGTGCCCGCGTTGGCGTCTCTGGCACTGGCACCACATCTGACAGCCAGAGATCGGACAGTCAGAAAACACACATGGAGTCCACAACCACCCCCAAAGGCCTGAATTATGGGGGGACAGAGCAGCTAATCATTTTCCATCAGACCTTGGGTGTCTGGGGTTGGCTAATCCCTTTCCCCCCTCCTTGGATCACCTGGATGCTTTGGGATGAGGCCACGTGGCTTCACGTCTTCTCAGTACCCAACTCAAGCCCCCTGGCCATCTCCCTCCCCCCACATGGCTCTAGACCCCACCCCACCTGTGCCCACTTCCACGGCACACCACCCTCGCTGGCCTCTCCACTGTGCCCTGGCACCTCCCCCGTTTGCCCTCTCCTCTTCCATGCCCAGCCACTGCCCTGGGGTAAGGTGGCTCCACTACCACCCACTTGGATCTTATCCCCCCGCTAAGGACAGTCACCTCTGTTCATCCCAGCAGCTCCTGCAACCCAGCAGGGCTTGTTCAGAAGGGCTGTTTCCACTCACACAAAACTCACCTGGGAAGATGAACTGCTGCTTGTATTTGTAGTAGTGGGACGCTTGCAAAAGAAAGAAAACATCCAAGTCAGTGCCCCCTGCAGAAGATGTCCCTTCCAGTACCAAATTAGGCTCCCGTGGCTACCACGGGGTCATTCTCTGCCCACCACCCCCGAGAGTTTCCATACTTCCGCAGACACCCTGAAGCACAAGGGACTGAGGTTATGTATAAAGAATCCAGAACTCTAAACATCCAAGCCAACTGTCCCACCTGACACCTCACACTCCCGGGTACAATACCATCTCAGTCAAATGCATCATGACACACATGCAGAGAAAAAGTCTATAAAGCCATAATCCAAAATATTAATTTCCTTCCCTTTTGGTAGAGTGAGTCCTGTGACTTTAAAAGAAAAAAATCCTTTGTGCTTTTCCTATGTCTTCCAAATTTTCTGCATTGAGCATTGTATATTAATTTTCCTTTTTGCAGCTATAACAAATTCCTATCAACTTACTGGCTTAAGACAACACAAATTTACCCTCCTGGAGTCCTGGCGGATATGAGTCTGAAATGAGTCTTAAAGGGCTAAAATCGGGTGTCAGCAGAGCTGGTGCGTTCTAGGGGCTTCTAGGAAAATCCTTTCCTTGCCTGTTTTGGCTGTCGGAGGCGGCTGCATCACTCCAACCTCTGCTTCGGTTGTGCCCCCTCCTTCTTCTGCTCTGGACCTGGCCTCCCCCCCTCATGCAAGGATGCTCGAGATTACATTTAGGGTCCATCTGGATCATCATGCAAGACGATCTTTCTGTCTCAAGACCCATAACTTAACCACATCTGCCAAGTTCCTTTTGTCGTGTCAAGTAGCATTTTCACAGATTCTGAGGTTGGGACATGGACATCTTTTTTTAGGGGGGGGGGGTAGGAGACTGGGGAGGCACAATTCTGCCTACCGCAAGCATGAATGACCTTTGTATTTAGGAGGAAAATAGCTAAAAAGAGATTGCCTAGATTTTACTGTTGGTTCTCCTATAATTCCTTTTAGGTCACTCAACAGAGCCCGGGGGTCTCAGAAACTTTAACGCTAACATTACCACTTACTCCATTAGGATATGGCGCCTACGATAGGGGTGGTCTAGGGTGGGGTACAAAGAGTACAAAGAGGTTTAGATCCTTAAGCAAGTGAAGGGGGCAGGGACGTGGTCAGACATGAGTCCAAACCGATGGAGCCAATTCCAGAAACAATTTGATGGCACGGGGGAGACAGGCCGCCCCTGGCGTTGGTTGACCGAATGTCAGCACAGTACTTTCAAGCCTGGAGTCTAGAAGCGGGGCTCGTAAGGCAGAATCCTTGCTCTGCCTTTGGCTACTTGCAAAAGCTGAACAAGTCTGGCCAAGGCCCAGGGTCCACGTGTGCAAAGTGGGGACAGTAAGGGTCCCTTCCTCAAAGGGCTGGGATCATGGCTGCGTGACACAGAGTGCACAGAAGGTGCGGAGTCCGTATTAGCTGCGGTGAATCAGCAGACCTCGTTCTGAGCTCTCTGTACTAATAGACAGGAATGATCTATAATTAAGAAACCACTGGACAGTCTCAAGTGCTAAATCAATTGCTTTGGGGAAGCGGACGGAACATTCCCCCTGGGGTCGGACGTGATTTATAAACTCCTCCAAGATAGAGGACAAGTCCTGCCATCTCAGGACGCCAAACTCCCGGGTCTGTGCCTTGTACCCGTGGGCGTGCGACACATATTTGTTGAATTAATCCACTCTCTTTTATCACAGATAAAATAGCAGAAGCCTCAGGCTTCATCCAATTCCTGATTATCTCAAATAGTTGGAGTCCCGATAGATGCATTTTTTGATTCTAGAAAATGGGGTGTACAGGACAGGAAGCAACGTATTCACAGTGACAAAGCAAAGCTTTAAAAGAAAAGCACCCTCAGTGACTTTGGGGACCTTTTTTTCCTGTTGGATAACCTAGGTTTTTCACTGCATATAGCCATTTTATTAGTTAACAAGGGGCTAAAATCTGTAACACAATAAAAACCACCCGTGGTTCTCAAGAGGCTTAGCTGGTCTCTTCCCTCCCCGGCTCTGGCGTGATGGGGACTCCGTGTCTGCAGACGAGGTTAGCTGGCAGTCATGCGCTTTTGAGAAGGAGGGGGTGGGCAGTGGAGACCAAGAGTCTGAGAAGGGACAGGTGTCGGGCAACGAGACACCAGCAGACGCCGCCATGCCCAGAGCCAGCGCCCTCCTGGCCCCTCTGTGTGCCATGGAACAGCTCGTTCCTGATGACTCGAAGGGACATGAGTGGCCAGAGGAGGATGACAGATGTCACTGGGAGACCTGCTCTTCCAGCTGATAACAGACACCAGCGAGAAGTGGCTCCAAAGAACAGCTGGTGACCCCGAGTGGGCCGCCAGGGAGGGCTGAGTGGCTGCTGGCTTGCAGCACCCGAGAGGACTTGGGACCGGGCTGCAGAGGAGCTGGGAGAGACGGGCGGGCCACTTACGAGAGTCCACTGCAACCTCACTGTCCCTCCAGAGAGCAGCCGGTGTGGTCTTCTAGAAGCCAGGAAGAAGGGCCACGTTCCCTTCTGCTGGAACCTTTCAATTGCTTCCCAATGGGTCTCAGATAAAAGCTAAACCCCTGTCAGGCCTCAGCCCTGCAGCTCTAAGTCTTACGAGGTGCCACTGTCCCCTGCTTATGGCACTTGGGATGCCACTGTGACATTCTTTCAGCCCCTGCCTGCCCCATCTTCAGAACTCAGCCGTCTCTGTCCTTCAACCCAAACGTGTTCTCCTCTTGCATTTGCACGTGGCATTGCTCTTTCCCTTTACGATTGATCGTCCTTCCCTTATCGCGATGTATAATCCTATTTCCACGTGAGTGTTTGCTTGGCTAACATCTGTCTCTACCACTGTGCTATAAACTCGATGAGAGGCCGGGCATGGAGGCTCATGCCTGTAATCCTAGCACTCTGGGAGGCCAAGGCAGGCAGATTGCTCAAGGTGAGGAGTTCGAAACCAGCCTGAGCAAGAGCGAGACCCCGTTTCTGCTAAAAATAGAAATAAATTAATTGACCAACTAAAACCATATATAGAAAAAATTAGCCGGGCATGGTGGCACATGCCTGTAGTCCCAGCTACGTGGGAGGCTGAGGGAGTAGGATTGCTTGAGCCCAGGAGTCTGAGGTTGCTGTGAGCTAGGCTGACGCCACAGCACTCACTCTAGCCTGGGCAACAGAGCAAGACTCTGTCTCCGAAAAGCAAAAAAAAAAAAACCTTGATGAGAGTAAGAATGGTTGTGGGCAAAGGAATGAGCTCCCCGCCCCGCCCCACCCCCTAGATGTGCACATTCTAATCCCTGCCAACTGTGAATGCATTTACCTTACACGGCAAAAGGGACTCTGCAAAGGAGATTAAGTTAAGGATCTTGAGGTGGGGACATTACCCTGGATTACCTGGGTGGACCCCATGGCATCACGAGGGGCCTTATAAGAGGGGTGCAGGAGGGTCAGAGTCAGGGAGACAGAGTCAGAGAAGGACTGTGACCACGGAGGCAGAGAATGGAGGTGACAAGGGGACACGAACAAAGGAATATGGGCAGCCCCTTGAAGCTGAGAAAATATAAGGAAGTGGATTTTTCTCAAGAACCTCCAGAAAAAACCAGACCTGCTGACACCTTCATTTGTTTTTCACATGCTACATTATAGACGTGCATAAGAGAAAACCCCTCTCCCCCCAGCAGCCACCAGAAGTTCTTACAGACTTTTTTTGTGCATGTATACATATATATACTCACATAAATATATGTAATATTACAACATATAGAATGTTATTATACCAACTATTTTGCAAATAACTTACTTTTCCACTTAAAATTATGGATATCTTTCCATATCAGGAAATCTACATAGAGTACTGCATTCCTTTTAAAGGTTGCAAAGTATTTGGTTATACAGACATTAATATATTACAGTGTTTTCAACCATTCTCCTCTTATTGGGCATTTGGGGTTGATTTCAGTTTTTCACTATTACAATGAAGCCCTTACAATCAGGTCCCTGTGCCCTAACGTGTGCATTTGTGTATATGAATTCCTAGCAGTGATGTTGCCGGTCGAAGGAATGCACATTTAAAACTCTAACAGATAATGCCAAATTATTTCCCCCCAAAGTTTAGTTCAATTCACACTCCTAATACCAAGATGGGGATTTCATCTTTAGTCCCACGATTCTGTCTAGGCCCCCCCTATTAATTAGCAGCACTGATGAGAAATATTTTTTAAAAAAGGTCATCACTGTATTTTGTTATTATTGTGTTTAACAATAATACAAGGAGCTCGTGTATGTTGAGTTCACCTTTCTTCAATGAGACTGTCAGTCTGCTAAGCTGTGTCTGTATATTCAGTCCTGCAATGATTCTATGAGATGGGTACTATGATTATCTCCATTTTACACCTGGGGAAACTGAGGCCCAGAGAGAGAAGTCATTTGCCCGACATCATGCAGATATTAAGTGGTAGAGCTGGGGTTGAACCCAAGTGGCCTGGCTCCAGAGCCCATACTCTTAACTGCCCTGCTAAAGCACCTTCCCCCAAAAGACCCCTTAGCCCAGTCCCGAAAGGAGGCCAGGACCTTGCCATGACAAGTCACGGAGTGGGGTGGCTCAGGCAGCAGGCTAGCACAGCATGTTGGCCCAGACCCCTCCTTGGGGACTCTGGCTGAGAGAAGAAAGGTGCTAAGGGACCTGCCCCCCAAGCTCGGGTGGTCATGGGGTACTGGGGGATCCCATCCCATTCACCCCCTTGCGGAGAAGTGGAAATGAGACGGCAGTGGCGGCCTTCAACCTGTGCAGGTGCTGGGCGATTTGCCTAATTGACTTGGTGACACTAAGATGATTCAGCTGGTGACTCACACTGGGGGCCTTGGTGGCTGCTAGGTGAGTGGCCCTCACACCAGGTGGACATGAGGCTGCCTCGGTTTTGAACTCAACCAAAAAGCCCCAAAGTTGTAAAACTTCAAAATATACCCCATATCTCCATGGACACAGCCCAAATCAAAACAGGGTGGCAGGTGACGTGATCGGTTTGTCCTCGGCTGGGTGGTCGTATCCGGGTGTTTCCCAGGTGTGCGGAGGGCTCCATTCAGCTTGGAGGTGTGACCTGTGGCCAAAGACCTGGGACTTTTCCCCCCACTGTGAAGCTCAATGACTAAGGAGGAAATGGGCCCCTAGACCAGCACTGTCTGGTGGAACTTTCTGTGATGATGGAAGTGTTCTACCCCTGAGCTGTCCAATACGGCAGCCACCAGCCACATTGTGCAGTTGAGCACTCAAAATGTAGCCGGTGTAACTAAGGAATTTCATTTTGGATTATATTTAATTCCTTTAAAATTAAATCACCACCTGTGGCCAGTGGATGCCACACTGAACGACACAGATCTAGACCCTGGTTCCAAGTGTCCAAGCCAGTCCCATCAGACTCCCTCTTGAAGTCGGCTGCAGTGTGACAACTATGGCCAAGTTGGAAACATTCTTGGGGCTCTCGAAGAGGAACTAGGCTGCACCCCAGAAGAGGTTGGGAGACCCTTAGGTCTGGTCCACCTGAAGGAAGAAAAGTGTCCTCTTCTTAGGTCTCATGACAAACGGGGCCAAGAAGCCAGAATGTCTAACAAGTGGCTTCTCCATCATCCTCTCAAAGCCCAGGTTGACAGCATGAATGCCCTGGAATTCATGAGCTGGAGGAACCTTCCAGATCATCTCACCCAGCCATGTGCTGTTGGAGGTGAAGCCACAGAGCAGGAACACGGGAGACCAGACTGCCCACTCGCAGCGCTGTCCTGACACCTGGGTTAAGTCTCAGGATGCAGCCTCACTTTCCTGATCTGCGAGACGGAGCTGGTCACACTTACCTGGCGGTAATGAGGTAAATCTAAAGATTAAACACGGTCACACGTGGCACTTGCCCAGCATACGGCGAAGGTCAGTCCACGCACCGGATGACCAGGCCCTCTCTGGTCATCAACCTTCAAGCATGGGCTGCCCCCCCAATCTCTGCCCCTCCAACTTGCCCGCCCCACGTCTCCCCGGGCGCGGAGGTACCTGGCAGGTTGAAGTTCTTCTGCTGCCTGGCGCACTGCGGGGAAGGGTGCAGGGGAGAGGGCGGCGTGGCGCTGGGGGGGAGCGGGGGCGCTGGCGAGGATGGCGTGGAGGACGTCGTGGAGGAGGGGTTGCTGCTGGAGTCCGGCTGGTAAGGGACGGGGATGTGGTCCTGCAGGGAGAAAGCGGCGCAGGCGTCAGGGACACGGAGACACAGCGGGAGGGTGAGCGGAGCAGGAAGAGGCCCCCCTCGTCCCCCCCCCCAGCATCCTCAGCATCCTCGTCCTCCCTCTCTGCATCCACCCACAGTCCTGCCTCCCTCCCCATCCCGGCCGCCTGCATCCAGCCACGGAGGGACCAGTGGCCCCGGCTGGCAAGGGTACCAGGGAATGAAGACTGCACAGGTGACAGCCATGCACCCCGGGCCTCTTTGATTCTGGAAAACCCCACGCGGAGGTGCCCAGAACACCCCTCCTGTCCTGACGCCTCTCCTCCTGAGTGTTTATTAAAGAATCACTAGCCTGATGGCGCCAGGGTGAGTGTGACAGTGAGCCGCAGCCTTCTCGCTCGTGGCTCCGTCGGAGCCAGCCCCGCCTGTCTCTCCTCGCTCCCTGCACCAGCCCGAAAACAAGGACGGAGACAGGATCCGAGTGTGCCTTGATGGGGTGCCTTAGGAGCAGCGTGGGGGGTTGAATAGCGTCTCCCGAGAGATAAGCCCACCCGGAACCTCAAAGCCCCGTCTCATGTGGAACGAGGGTCTTTGCAGATGGAACCAAGGTGAGGATGTTGAGATCATCCTGGATCAGGGCCCCAAATCCAATGACAAATGTCCTTATGAGAGACAGGACAGGCTGGGCGCAGTGGCTCACGCCTGTAATCCTAGCTCTCTGGGAGGCTGAGGCGGGCGGATTGCTCGAGGTCAGGAGTTCAAAACCAGCCTGAGCAAGAGCGAGACCCCGTCTCTACTATAAATAGAAAGAAATTAATTGGCCAACTAATATGTATATAGAAAAAATTAGCCGGGCATGGTGGCGCATGCCTGTAGTCCCAGCTACTTGGGAGGCTGAGGCAGGAGGATCGCTTGAGCCCAGGAGTTTGAGGTTGCTGTGAGCTAGGCTGACGCCATGGCACTCACTCTAGCCTGGGCAACAGAGTGAGACTCTGTCTCAAAAAAAAAAAAAAAAAAAGAGACAGGACAGGACAGACACCGAGAGCAGACAGAGGTAGAACTGGAGCAACGCAGCCACAAGCCACGGACTGCCGGGGCCACTGGAGGCCGGGACAGGTGTGGAACAGATTGTCCTTCACGGCCTCCCCCGGGCAGCCCTGCGGGCATCTTGAGAGATCTTGAAGGGATTTCTGGCCTCCAGAACTGTGTGAGGATGAACCTCTCTCATTTGAGTCCCTCAGGGTGTGGCCACTTGCTACGGCAGCACCAGGAAATTAACACAAGCCGAATCCAGAGTCAGGCAAACCCGGACTCAAACCCCACAGCCACCTCTTCCCTGTGCATCGGGGACAAAATGCTTAACGACTCCACGCCTCAGTTTTGTCCACTGCAAAATGGAAATAATTGTAACGTCAAATGCCCAGGGCTGCGTGAAGATTAATGACACGGAAGCACGTAAACTTCTCAGCACAGTTGCACGTGACAATTTCCACTCTCAACTGGGTCCGTTTTTCACTTTCTTTTGGTGCACCCCTAACGTCATCTCTCCTGTCTAAAAACTTTTTCTAGAACCTTCTTCAATTTTTCACTTTCTATTGCACTATTCCTATCCGCACAGAGACGTGCTATGTCCTCTCCCATCCTTATACTCAAATTCCTTTGGTCCAATCTCTACTTCCAACCACCTTCCATCCCTGTTCCTCTTGCAGCAAACCCCTTTTGAAGAGTTATCTAGACTTAGTGGCTCCAGTCTTCTCTCTTTTAAACTCACCCCCAAATGCCTTTTGTGCCCACCGCTCCTCGGACACCACTCGTTGACATGTTGTCAGACCCACCCATCAGTCCCCTCTGTGGCCTTTTGCACACTTCTTGTCTTCCAGAATCCAGCACTTTCCTGGTTTTCCCTCTGTCTCACTGGTCACCCCTTCTCAATCCCCTTTGCTGTTTCTCCCTCTCCTCTGGGACCCACTAATGTCGTTGTGCCCCAGGGCTCAGTCCTTGGTGTCACCCCCAACTCACATAACCAACAGGCTAGCCAACACGTCTGGGATGCCCACGAGAGTGTCCCACTCAGCTTGCCAGACACTCAATTCTCTCGTCTCGTTATGACTGTCATTTCAAAGTTATACATAAATGGAACCATACAGTGTGTAACCTTTTTGGATTGACTTTCTACACTCAGAATATTAATAATTCCCTGTAGATTCCATCTGAGTTGTCACAAGTGTCGACAGTTCCTTTTCACGGCTGAGTAGTAGTCTACAATCTGGACACACTGCCACTGAACCATTCGCGACACACTGAAGGACATCTAAGTCGTTTCCTCTTGTTAGCTTCTGTGAATACAACCGCTATAAACATTTATGCACAGGCTTTACGTGAACGTCACATTTTCATTGCTCTGAGATAAATGCCCCGGAGTGCAATTTCTGGATAATATAGTAATAGCGTGTTTAGTTTTTAAAGAAAGTGAAAAAACTGTTGTCGAGAGTGGCTGCACCATTTCACACCAGCAAAGTATGAGTGATTTTCTTTGCATCCTAGGCAGCGTTTGGTGCTGTCACTATTTTTTTTTATTTTTTATTTTAGCCATTCTAGTAAGAGTACGGTGATATCTCCTTATGCTTTTAATTTGCATTTCCCTAATGGCCAATGACAGCGAACACGTTGTGTGCTTACGTGCCATGGGTGTATCATTTTCAGCCTTGATTACTGTGGCTATATAATAAATATATCTTGAAACTGGATACACTGAATCCTCCTGCTTCATTCTTTTTCCAATTGTTTTAGTTATTCTAGTTCCTTTTTTTTTTCCATAGAACTTTTAGAATAATATTGTCTTTATCTACAAAAAGAATCTTGCTGGGATCTAGAGAGGAATTGTGTTAAGCCTGTATATTGATTTTGAGGAGAATCGACATCTTAACTATGTTGCCCTTCCGATCCATGAATATAGAGAAGGAAGGAATGAAGGGAGGAAGGGCTGGAAGGATGGAGAGAGGGAGGGAGGGAAGGAGGAGGAAGGGCTATACGTCTTCCCATTAGATGTGTCTCATTCATCTTGGAATCTGCAGAACTCAGCACAAACACAAAATCAGGAGATTGCTAATAAATGTTATATGAACGAATGAATCCAGAGAAAGCAAGGAAAGGTGGAAGGAGGGAAAAATTGCTTTTATGGTGGAAGGAATTATCTCTACCCCTTTTAGGACAGAAACTGGGTCTTTGTCATCGCTATAGCTCGGGGCAGATGTGGATAGACAGACTCATGCATACATGCGGTGCTCACTTTCCCTGGCAGAACCGTTACAGTGGGAGGGGAAGTTCCTTCCGCAGGGGAGACCCGGATCTGTGTCCCAGTGGGCCCAGTGACTGGCAGCGATGTTCCATCAGAGGGGAACTTTACCAGATCGTGCAGGGAAGGGCTGATGGCATCATTCCTCTCTCTGCACACAGATAAGATCTGGAAACATCCCTCTGGACCATCCAGTCCAACCTCTTCATTCTGTAGGTGGGGACAGTGAGACACAGAGACGGGGGTGACTTCCTGGAGTCACACACGGGTCCCCAACTCCCAGCCCAGAAGCAGAAACACAAAGCTGTACTGAGGAATAAGAAACTCGCATCAGACTCTGGAAATCAAACAGAAGCACGTGGACTTGCCCAGGTCCCCACGCCCCCGGCTGTGGCCGTGGGGTCACCGCTCTCCCCACCCTCCCCCCCTGCCGCTGTGCCGGGTGGACGGCCCTAAACAGACACACCGTCCTGCGACCGCCAGACCCCACTCCCAAGGCAGGGCCAGCGGTCAGAGCACCACGGCAGCCGGCCAGTGACCTAGGACACTGGGTACGGCCAGCAGGAGGAAGAGCAGCACCAGGGGCAAAGGCTGAGATAAGACGAGGCTCGAGGAGAACAGAGGAGCCAAGATGGCCAGAAAGCAAAGACGCCGAGGGCTGTCGGGGGAGGGCCGACATGGCGACAGAGAGAAAAGGTAAGAGGAGGAGGACTCCAGCCAGCTGTCACACAGCAGGGCGACGCACGAGGAGTGGCTGAGTCACCGCCACAACGCAGGGCCAGGCGATGACCCACGCACTTGCACTGGGTCCGAGGAGCTGGCCCGAGCTCAAGACCGTCCTCCGTGTCCAGTGTCATGCGGCCCAGCTCCTAAATGGCGACTTCCCTTCCTCTTACTGCCCCACGTCTGTCCTCACCGTAGACAACTAATTTTTCTGAGCCAGCCTCGGCAGGTCTCTGTTCCTTGCAGCCAACTGACGACAGCACGCAGCCGCTCTGCACAGCTCGGCGCGGCACGCAGCTCTCCGCCTCCACTGTGGGTGGCGCTTCGACGCCGTGACGCGCAAGCGCAAGGGTGGCAGGCTGGTCCCCTAGGGGCTGGCGGACGCCAGTGCTGCTGCTGCTTCTCCAGCCAACTCCATCTCCTCCTCCTCCTCCTCCATTTTCCATCCTCCTCCTCCATGCTTCATCCTCCCCCTCCTCCATTTTCCATCCTACTCTTCCTCTTCTGCCATGCTTCATCCTCCTCCTCCTCCATTTTCCATCCTCCTCCTCCATGCTTCATCCTCCCCCTCCTCCATTTTCCATCCTCCTCTTCCTCCTCCTCCATTTTCCATCCTCCTCTTCCTCCTCCTCCATTTTCCATCCTCCTCTTCCTCCTCCTCCATGCTTCCTCCTCCTCCTCCATTTTCCATCTTACTCTTCCTTTTCCACCATGCTTCATCCTCCTCCTCCTCCATTTTCCATCCTCCTCTTCCTCCCCCTCCATTTTCCATCCTCCTCCATGCTTCATCCTCTTCCTACTTTTTCATTCTTCATCCTCCTCCTCCTCTTCCTCCATTCTTCATCCTCCTACCCCAGTATCCATCCATCCTCCTCCTCCATCCATCTTCCTTCTCTTCCTCTTCCTTCCTCTTCCTCTCTTTCTTACTTCTCCTACAAGCTAAGAATGGTTAGCTTCCTCCTCCTCTTTCTCATTTCACTCTTCTTCCTCCTCCTCTTCCTCCTCTGTCTTCACCACCATCAAGCTACTTCCTGGCCCTGAGTGTTCCATGTTGGACCAAATCCTTTACATGTATCACGCATTGAATCCTCTAGACAACCCCAATAACACCAGCTACTGTATACTGCCCATTTTACAGAGGGGAAGACTAAGGCAGACAGATCTTGAAATAACCTGCCCACAGGCACACAGCAAGTTAGGGAGCTGAGCCACAAGCCTGGCCTCCAGAATCTACACTCCACCCACCATGCCAGGGGAAAAAACAGGCCTCTCTGAACCTGGAGTGACGGAGCTAGACAGGAGAGAAGACAGCGAGCAATGAGAAGAAAATCCTCAGACCAAACTGGCTCGGAAATGCACTGCACTGACCACATCATCGCCTGACAAGAAGAATCTGTGCGAAGGCAGTGAGAAGAGAAAGGGGGAAAAATAACCCGGCCCTATGACAGATCCGTCCAGCTTCGCGTCCACGTTGCTTTCTTAACAGAGGTTAATGTGTTTCCCTCATCAAATTCTCCTGCCGGCAGACAAGCAGAACCATGTCACAGGCACTGATCCATCTGACCCGTGTTTCTGTCCCACCCAACACCAAGAGGCTCGTTGTGTTTGTCAAGCCAGAGAGAGAGGTCTCGAGGTGACTCTGAGCTCCTTGTCCCTCACGATGTCACAAACGAAAGAAGGGGTCACCAAGGATGCACTGGGAAGGCTACTTCCCAGGGGCCTCAGGTCTCTGGGAGAGAGGGTCCCCACTGCTGGAAGGGCAGAGGGGGTTCACATGCTATCTTCTGCAAGGAACAAGGACAAGTGAACTCAGCCTGACATTTTGATGGGAGGCCCCAAGATTTAAGCTGCTGATAATCACTAGAATTTCCTGGACACTAACTACGTACCAGCAACTTCGCCAAGTGCCTTTTAAATGTTGACTTAATTCCATCTCCACAACAACCGTCTGAGGTTGGTGCTCTTACTGCCCACCATGGGCATTTTAAAACTTGACTACACATTCTTGAATTCTTCCCATCGAGAGTTGGAATCTATGTCTCCTCCCTTTGAACCTGAGCAGGTCTGTGACTGCCTTCATTAGTAAAGTACAGCAGAAATGACACTGCTAAAGTTCCACCTTGTTTGCTAATTCAGATGCTCTTTGAGCCAGGAGCTGCCATGCAAGAAGCCTGATTATCCTAAGGCAGCCATATTGCGAGGAAGCCCAAGCCACAAGGCAAGTCCACACGTGGGTACTCTAGTTGACATCTCTGCTGAGCCCAGACGTAAACTCATCCCAGCCCACACACCAGACATATGAGCGCAGGAGCCTGCAAATAAGGGGTCAGGAAACTTTTTCTATAAAGGACCTGACAGTAAATATTTTAGGCTTTGCAGGCAACGTGGTCTCTGTCGTGACTACTCAACTCTGCTTATATAGCACAAAGGCAGCCATAGAATATATGAGTGTGGCTGTGCTCCAGTAGGATTTTATCACAAAAACAGGTGGAGGAATGGATCTGGCCTGTGGGCCTTAGTTTGCCAATCCCTGTTCTAGAGCAGTGGTCCCGATCTTTTTGGCACCAGGGACTGGTTTCATGGAAGACAATTTTTCCACGGACCGGGGATGGGTGTGGGTGGGGAGGCGGAGCTCAGGCGGGGATGCGAGTGACGGGGAGTGGCTGTAAACAGAGGAAGCTTCGCTCGCTCCCCTGCTTCTCACCCCTGCTGTGCGGCCCAGTTCCTAATTGGCCATGGACAGGCACCGGTCTGCGGCCTGGGGGTTGGGGACCATAGTTCTAGAAGACTCCGGCCCCTTCTGTGTGAGTTTCCCCAGTTGAGTCCCTAGACGTCATGGAACACACCACCCCCTTCTGTCCCAATTCCTGACCCCCCAACCAAGGGACGGGGGTCTACTTCTGAGCTTCTGGGGGAGGCTGGGTGTGCGGGACATCTTCGGGGCCTGAGTTCAGAACAGCAGCCAGTCTGCTGGCTTCTGCCCTCACACAGGTGGTCAGTGGGGGTCCTCTGTGCACTGTCTGTCCATTGTGGCCTAGACATTTCTGGCATGATTTCCACATCCTTCCTTTGGTCTGTTGATGGGCCTGCACCAAAGCTATCCCAGGGACACTCCCAGCCACACGGGAGGAGGCAAGATTTGCACACGCCAACAGGTGCTTTCTCAAGCTGTCATGTGTTACGTTAAAGGTGATTCAACAGACGTATCAGAAAGCCCAGAAGCATCTGCAAAGCTGGTGCTGGCAGACAGTGAACCCCCCCCCAAAGCCAACCAGGTGGGGTCTGGACCACTAATGCAACCCCCTTTAAGTCTCTCCTCCCATCCCTATGGCAATGTACTGGACACCCTCGTCCATTCTCATTCCCATGCGCCTTCCCTCTAAATGGCGTTCCTGGCACACGAATCTCTCCCGACCGATGGCTGTCCCCCAAGCTTTACTCAACGCAACCCACACAGAACTAGGAGAGCCCGGGGAGGGGGTGGAGGGGGGCGGCAGGAGGGAGTGCCGCATCGATCCCTTCCTCCCTCCTACCCTTATCTGGCACTGCCAGACCCACCGATGCGGACCCAGGGGAAGCCCAGCCTTACCTTGTTGATTTTGTTGGTTTTGGGCAGCGTCTGGCTGATGTGCAGGTCCGAATACCGGGGCGGCTTCCGCAGAGGGTTGTTGATGTCGCACGGGACGGACTCGGTCCGGACTAACCTTGCTGGGTCCGTAGGGTCAAAAACACCAAATTGGGAGTTTAAGTACCGCCTTGGCTTCGGTTGAGCCAGGAGAGCACAGCTCAGACCCCGCCTCGAAGGCCCACCCTACAGCTGGAGGAAAAGTCTCTGAGAGTGATAAGTCATCCTGTCTCTGCGGTGGGCTCTGGGCATGCTCTGTGCCTTCTAACACTTTCGGGTTGTCAGTAGGTGACTTTGGACAACTGAAAAGTATTCAGCTGAAGCTACCGGGTTTTATTTTCAATGCCATACTTGCTCCACATTGGCATTCATTTCAGAATTGAAACTCATTTGAAACACAAGAGGTCTCTGATTTCTCAGGGGCCGTAGTTAGTGGACGAGCTTTCTAACCTTCCTTTCTCTACCATTTTTTTTTTTTTTTTTTTTTGCTACTTTTGGGATTTCTCAGGCCTGGGCAACCTGCCGTACACTGAAACACTTCCAGAGAGGCTCGGCAGCTCCTGCCCTCCCCACCCGGCAAGCCAGGCACACAGCTGATGCTAAATAAATGCTTCCTGATCCCAATCACATCATGCAAGGCCCTCTCCCTTCTGTCATTTCTCCTGCTCGTAGGGAACAGGGTGAGGGATAAAAGTAAGCAGCTCAAATGCAAACCTGTTGCCCGGTATTACTTGTTAGCTGGGTTTTCCTTTCCTTTTTTGAGAAAGAGGGTACAAATTTTGCATTGTATACAGGTGACTTGTGTCGGCCCTTGGATCTTTTCCTCTAGTTTTTTTTTTTTTTTTTTTTTTTTTTTTATCGCGGGGGTGAGAGGAGAGTGTTGGTTAAGAAGTTAAAGCTTTCGACTGACCCAGGGATTTAATTCCTCTGCTTAGCCTGAGCTGCCATCACCATGGAAACCAACTACATTTTCAACTTCCAACCAAGGGGGGTGGAAAGAGCAAGAAGCTGGCGGACTTCTGGAAAGTTCAGCGTGCTTTGTACGTACAGGTACCTGCCGCCTTCCAGCCCAGGGAGCACGGCCTTAAGGTGGGTGGGAGGGAGCCCTTCTCCAATGTCGCCCCCCAGCAGGCTGGCTGTCACCTCCACGTGGGAGTCAGGCCCCCGCAGAACCAGCCAGGGAGAGGGAGTGGGCGGGAGGCGATTTCCCCAGCGATGCTGACCCGAGGCAGAGGCTCATGAGAGGTGAGAATTCAGGTTTTAAAATAGCCTCCTTGAGCGCAGACAGTCACTCAGGGCCCAGAGGGCCCCCAATTAAGGACGTGGGGTGGGCAGGGGCAAGATAAGCTGATGGCTTTGCCTTCACTCGCAATGTTCTCTCTCTTTGTGGCGAGAAACAATGCCAAGGCCCGATGGCTTTGGGACGCATCACCGTGCTTTCTGCAGCAATTTATCTCCTCCTTTAAGTTGCCCTTGGGTTCATTCTAAAACAGGACAGAGTCCCCGAAACAGGGACTGAGCAGGACCAGGGGAGAGGAGCGGGGAGAGGCGGGAGACGCAGGAGGCGGCCTGGGCAGGTACCGGAGTAGCACGTTGCTGCCCTCGCCTTGCTCCCTGGTGGCTCTAAGGCTCCATCCAACCTACAGATTGGGGGTTCGCAAGGAGGTACCCCCAAGAGTTTAAAATATTTTAGTAAGTTGCTAACATTCAAAAATGAGCATATGGCACATAAAACTCTCTTTTGGGGCTTTTGTTTGAAATGTCAGAAATTCCGGCAACACAGGTCCACATTGTTACTGGCGTGGCCACACCCTCTAGGCGGCACTTGGGGTCTCTCCAGTGTGCCACAGCCCCCACCTGGCCGGCTTCTGTCAACTTAGGTTACTAACTTGGCCCTAGCAGGCATCTAGTTTACATGCACGACTCAACATTCACGTGCACAGGAGTTCCCTGCAGAGCGCGTACAAAATGCCGATTGTGAATTCAGTAGCTCTGGGGATGGGGCCAGAAACTGTGCCCTTCTACCGGGTTCCTAGGTGGTCTCGATGCTGCCGGGTCCGTGGGCCACGCTTGGACTAGCAAGGGCCTGGCCCTCCATGTCCAGGAGAACTGTCCGTGACGGTGAAAGTGCTCTACATCTGCACTGTCCAACGTGGTAGCCACATGTGGCCACTGAGTCCTTGAAACAGGGCTGGTGTGACTGAGTAATTAAATCTGTATTTCTATTTGATTTTAAGCCATCAAAATTTTAAAAGTCAGATGTGGCCAGTAGCTATACCGTATTGGACAGCACAGCACGGGCCTAGAGTCTCTTAGGCAGGGGTCCTCAAACTACGGCCCGAGGGCCACAAGCGGCCCACCTAGGACATTTATCCGGCCCGACGGGTGGTTTTGCTGCCGCTGCCTGTCCTGCTTAGCAGCTGACTCATCCCAGGCCCACAGTGCGCATGTGTGGAATGTGCGCCGCGCTCTCCAACGGTCTGAGGGACAGTGAACTGGCCCTCTGTTTAAAAAGTTCAAGGACCCCTGCTTTGGGGAAGGGATGAACTGCAATATGGATGATGGAGTCCGGGGAGCCCACCCCCCAAGGTGGGAATCAGGGCAAATTCTTTGGAAGCTGGGTGGCAAGGCGTCCCAGGGAGGTGGCTCCTATGGTGTCCTTGGCAGGCTGGGGACAGCCTTTCCTTCTAGTCTTTCTTTCCAGCCAAGTTGGTCTGTCTTCTGCCCAGTGGAAGCCTGGTGGTAGTAGCTCTCCCAGGGGTAGCTGCTACCTCCTACCCCAGACAGGTTGATCCAGACACTCGCAGGGCCCCAGGGGATGGGACAGAGATGGCTCAAACCAGCGGACCCAAGCCAGAGCCCTCCCGGTGCCCACTTCTGCAAGCCCAATTGACTAAGTCCAGAAAGCACAGAATGGAAAACATGCAGCCAGCGCTCTTTTTAGTGGGAAGGAAAAGTGACGGGGTTACGGGAAAGAGAAGAGACTGGAAATTAGGAGAGGAGATGGGATGAGAGAGCCGGGGGTTAGGGAGGAAGGAGACAAACTTGGGGGCTAAAGTATCAGAGGGACCCCTGCAGGAGCTGGGATTAGGAAGGACAGGCACAGGGATGGATAAAGGAGACAGATGTCAGGAAGGATGGGTGTCAGAAGGGAAGGAATGAGACAGGCAAGCATCTGGGGGTCGGGAGGAGTCCAGAATCAGCCTGGGTGGGATCGCTGTCTCCAGCGGCCTGCGGTAGTCCCTCACCCCACCACACCCCTAGGACAGGAAGTGTTAAATACTTACCTCCTCGCTGGATGATCAGCAGGTGACAGGGTGGGGCTTCTTTGGTGCATTTGTTGTGGCACTTTAACCTGAGAGAGAGAAAGAGAGAAAAGTGTGGATAGATGGATGGATGGGTGGATGGATGGATAGGTGGATGGACAGGTAGGTAGATAGATGGATGGGTGGGTGAATGAATAGATAGATGGAGAGATAGATGGGTGAGTGAATAGATGGGTGGGTAGATGGATGGGTAGGTAGACGGAAGGATGGGTGGATAGGTGGCTAGATAGATGGCCAAATGAACAGATGGATGGGTGGATGGATAGATGGATGGGTGGATGGATAGAGGTTGGGTAGATAGAAGAGACAGCTGGGTTAATGAGTGGATGGGTGGATGAATGGCTAGGTGAATGAATAGATAGATGGATAGATAGATGGATAGATGGGTGGGTGGATGAGATGCCCTAGTGGTCTAGAAAGCTCTGGAAAGTTCTCGATACCAAGATGTGAGGTGAGATGAGATGGGGCAGCTGCCACGAAGGCACAGATCCTTAGCAACCCAGGAAGCTAACTTAGGAAAGAGCCTGCTGCCGCCATCCCACTCTCTCAGGTCAGTCCTGGGTGGCCCAAGAGTGGGTGGCAACTGTCTCACCAACGGTGCCCATGTAGACTCCATGCTTTGAAAAACATCAAACATCACGCTTTCCCCTATTGGTCTATACTATCATCATCACCACAATCCTAATCAGCATCTACCATTTACCTGAAGACTCGTTTGCCAGCCATTGCACTAAACATTTTACATACACTATGTCATTTGGTATTTATAACCACCTTACAAATTGGGTATTATAATCATTCCCATTTTACAGATGGAAAAATTGAGATTAACTGACAAGAAGCCTGGGTCAGTGGTCCCAAAGGTGGCCTCTCATTTTTCTTAAAGGCCCAAGCTGTAGGAGACATTGAGCAAGGGCTTTCAATTAAGATGAAATCGGTTAATAGGTATTACGTTTCAGAGGCAGTAGGTTGAAGAGTTTAGAGTCAAAATACCTCCCTTCCAGACAAGCCTCTGATGTCACTTGTTCTTTCATCCATAATTGCCTGACTTCACAAGGATAATAAACATCCCAAGTTACTGCAGCCTGGCTTGTCTTTCTCTTTTAGAGTTTTATGTCAGTAGGACAGGTACACACTGGAAGATGCCGTAAGTGTCCCAGCCAGGCCATTTTTGTGCTCGCCAGCCTCACTCCCCACAGCCAACATCTTAACTGCCCTCAGGCGGCTTAGAGGTTCAGCATTCAAGCAGAAAGGCCCATGCGCGACATGGACAAGTGGGACTTCAGAGTTGTCCTGCACCCTGTTTCTCTCTAGGGATGTGACAGTTCCCTTTGGCAGAAGGGCTCGCACACCCAGACACAGCCTGAGTTAGCCCTCGGGGCCGGACGCGGCAAGCCGCCATCAGTGTTTGAACGAGCCCTCCAGGTGAATCCGATGCACGCTCAGGTGTGAGGACCACCGGCCTAGCTGATTGTTTTGGAATACCTGTGCACATTTCCCCGATCTTTCTTTTCGTTCAGTCTTTGTCCGCCCAGGGTGCAGAGGGAAGTGAAGAAGAACGTGGGCATCGTGAACTGATGCTCAGTAACATCATGAGAACCTGAGACCCCCCCAACTCTCTTCCACTCTGACTGCAGCAGAGAGAAGGTTTCTAACATGTGCTAGCCCAAGTCCTAGATTCAGACAGGCAACAGTATCAAAGGGAAGTTAATCAACGTATTTATCCATTTGAATATCTATTTTTTTTCCAGGTTACCTATGTGAATAAGTGATGTCAATTTTTTATGCATGATATTATGATGCATAGATATTGTTTATAGATATGCATATGATATGTTTTCATCTTTATATAAATTTATTTCAGTTAAAAGGACTATACATAGTAAATACATAATAGGAGAGTAGATACATAAATGTGACAAAATTTACCCATGACAGGGTGTTGAAGAAATGACAGAGTTAGACTGGGAAAAGCTGACTTAGGCAAATTCAGACTCTACAAAGAGGGGACACAGCTCTTGCCACCAGAAACCCTAAGATGATGGAGAAAAACACTGGGAGGTGCTTTTGGTCACAAATACCACAAAGACTGCAGGACCCTGAAATTAACAAGCGCTAATGCTTAGGTAGTGTGCACAAGATGCCAGGTGACGCTCTGAGCGCTTTACAGAATTCCTTGAATCCTCACCACAGCCCTAAGCAGCAGCAAGGATTGTTATGACCATTTTACAGAGCGAGAAACTGAGGCTCAGCAAATTCGGATAATTTACCCAAGGTCAAACAGCCAATAAGAGACAGAGGTCCCGAGCCCAGCTCTTAGCCACTGTGCTGGATGGCTCCACACCTTCTGAAACTCTTCCTACTTTACATCTTGGGCGTAAGGGTGGGAAAAGAAGGTTCCTGGGAGCTAGAGCTACCTGAGTCAAAGTGCCCTTCCTTAACACAAGCCTCAGATGTCACCTAGCTGTTCCCCCTGCCATTGCCTGACTTCACAAGGATAATACAAGTCCCAAGTCACTGTGACTTGGCTTTCTTTGTCTTTTGCCTTTCTAAGGCCCTTAGATCTCTGGGGAAGGCCCCAGGCCCCATGGGTTAACCCCTGCTACACCAAAACCCTGACGCAGAGCTTTGCTCAATGGGAAACGAGCCTTTCGTTCATTCACCCAACACTGAACGGGGCCTAGTGTGACCCTCTGTTTACAGTGAGCGGTAATAAACATGCAAGCAAATAAACAAAACAATTGCAGTTGTCGTAAGATCATAAAAAATAATACGGTGAAGTGGAACAACCGGCGCTGGCTGTCTGAGGGGGGTCCTTGGGCAAGTCCTGTGACACGGTCAGACTGATGTTTCCCTGCATGGGGCAATCTGCCCAGTAGGAGTCCTACTAAGAAGTTTCTGCACTTGGAATAGCCAGACTCCACCCTGGAAGCTTCCAGAAATAAATTTTTCTTATCTGATACCACCACCTACAAGTCTTCTTAGAGAAGAAGACTTCAGTGCCCTGAAGCAGCGGTGTGCAATTTCACGGAAGCTCTGGACCACTGCCAAACCAGCACAGGACAGGACGGGACAGGCGAGCGCTCCCGTGGCCTCGGCCTGCTTCCCGCCCTCCTCCCTGACGTTTTTCTCTCCAGCTTCGTGCTCCTCTCTTGCAGTAACGGAAAAGCCCTCCTGCACCGCTGGCTGGCCCGGGGCTGGGGGATGGAACACCCTCCTCCTTCCAGCCCGGGGCTGCAGCGTCAGAATAGGAGCATGCACTCTCCCACTCTGCTCGCACAGAAAACCCCAGAAGACGTATCTCCGATGCCCAGACACTTAAACCCTGCACATAGCGGGTTCAGATGTCAAGAACCAGAGCCTGCACATCCAGGCTCTGCTAATAGAGTCGGCAGGATTAGCAGAGCCCTGAAATTGCACACACTCGAGAGGGAGCGGGAAGAGGATCACAGGGACTCTTTGCACCGTGCGGACACGCAGCCCGTCCCACTTACGGCTGGAAACGCGTGCAAATCACCCTAAAGTAGACTTTTCGCCTTTTTGTGGCTCTGGAAGAAAGAGCCACCGGCGTATGATTTATCGGGAGACCACCTGCTTCGAGGCTCACATGCCCAAGTCTCACGCCCTGAGTGACTTGGCCTGAGTCATGGCCACAAGGGCACCAGACGGGCGAGCGTTTTAGCAGGCAGGGACTCGGCACGCCCTGGGTGCACGCAAACGCCACGCCAGCCCCACAGAGCCTGGCGACTTGGGAAGGATTTATTGAAAACTTTTCATTGCAAATGGTTAATTTTTTTTTTTTTTAGGCTTAATAGGACAAGCTTCAGTTATGGAGAAAAGTTGCTTATGTGGAGCCCTTCACTGCCCCCAAAGGAGCGGCTGGATGTCGCCTCTGCCTGAAAATTAAATGTGGGATTTATCTGGAGGGCAGAGGGGTCTTGCCCAGTGCTGCGGTTCCCTTCCGTCCTTAAGTGACGGGTACCTATTAGCTGCTGGACAAATACCAGACCAACAGAGGGAGAGATGAAGGAAGAAAAAGAAAAAGGAAACAAGTAAAGGCAGAAGGAAAATCTGTCAGATGCTACTGACTGGCAGGGTCTTCTATCAAAATGTTTTTGAAAAGTGACTTCTTTTTTTTTTTTTTTTTTTGAGACAGAGTCCCAGTCTGTTACCTGAGCTAGAGTGCCGTGGCGTCAGCCTAGCTCACAGCCACCTCAAACTCCTGGGCTCAAGCGATCCTCCTGCCTCAGCCTCCCGAGTAGCTGGGACTACAGGCGAGTGCCAGCTCACTCTTGGCCAATTAATTTCTTTCTATTTACTAAAGAGATGGGGTCTCGCTCTTGCTCAGGCTGGTTTCGAACTCCTGACCTTGAGTGATCCTCCCGCCTTGGCCTCCCAGAGTGCTAGGATGACAGGCGTGAGCCACCGTGCCCAACCGAAAAGTGACTTCTATTTCTTACAAATCGTATGCCTCTTAGTTTCTGAAATGCAAACACATCCCTCTCTCATTTCCTTTTTCCTTCCCTCCCTTCTCCCACGGTGTCAGGGTGGGGGACAAGCATTTGCCCAGAAGCAAAATGGACCTCCACGGACCTTGCCCGGAGCCGTGGCGGGACAAATGGTCCCTTTTACGAGCAGCTCCGCTGTTTTCTTAATAGATTTGTCACGGCCCCCAGTGGGCCTGTGAAACAAACACAAGCTTAGAGCTGGCGCGGAGCTGGGATCAGAATGCCAGCCTACCGAGGAGGGACAGGCAAGACTGCGGCTGGGAAGACTGTCGTCACGTCAATGTCACACGGGTCCTCCTGGGAGTCTTACCAACTTATGAAAAGTTTGCTCTGAGCAGCACAGATCCCTCTTTTCTCCCACTTTCTCTCGCCCCGTACCAGCTGACTTTGATAACCAGCCTGAGTAAGGGCTCAGCGTTTAAAAAATCCGGCCCCTAATAGACAATGGAGGAGACATTGAAGCAGCACCAGCTTTGAGCCATTTATGATCTGTTTACTCCAAACAATAATCCCATAAGAGG